TTAGGGTTTAGCCTTTAGGCTTTAGGGTGACTTAAAGGGCTAAGGATATGGCAACTACAGACTACATCCCAGGTCCTAGATGTGCTGGAGCAGATCAAAAGATCCCAACCGGCCTGGGACCGCGCATGGGATCCTGAGTAGTCTGTGGCTCATGGCATGTCGAGGTGTTGAATACCGCTGAAGCACTCATAGAAGTACCTTGCTCATTACAACCACATGTGCACACCCAGCATCGTGGTAGGGAAAGTAATGATCGCTGGCTGGATACGGCGTCAAGGAGTACCTCTCACATCCCACGACAGAACATCTCTGCAGCTCCATCTAAACTCCTGCGACATGTTGAACATGCCAGAACAATTCCACTGGAGTAGCGATCGCCGACAGTCCACAAAAGGCTCTTCCAAACGGCGGTCAACTGCGTTGTCAAGACATGCTCTTAAAAAGAGCTCTGTGCCGAGCCGCGCGGGTGAATCTCTTTCTGCAAGATTAGGGCTCTGAGCGAACCCCGGGGCACCAGTAGCTCGTGATCACGGGCGCGGAAGGAACCACCTCGCCAAGGGATGACACTTGAATGGTCACTGGCAGGGCATGGTGCACGTTGACGCTAGCTGAAAAAGACAGAACGTCAGAGAGCCCTCACCTTTCTCCCGGGTTGAGCGGAACCTCCTGCACAACCGTTGATCTCACAAGCGTGTTTGGAAACCAAGATCTAGCCCCAGGCCGAATCTGCAAGACACCTCGAGAAGATCTAGAATCCAGAGATTTGCGGAAATGCCTAAATTAAGGGCCTAGCGTCTCTCTCTGAATCGAACCATCGGGCCTGCTTTTTCAAGCAATCTTGCAACGCCGGCAAAATATGATTTCCCAAACAGCGTAGACCCTTAGGGTCGCTTTGGGATTGACTCGGGCTTCTGGACCTCGACTCTGGCTGCCCTTGTCTGGAGCCTCAAGTCCAGTCTCCTGATCCTGCGCCTCTAAATCTTTGCCCCTACTTCGTCGGCGATGGAACGATGTAGATGCAAGGGTCCTCGATGTCGGCTACCTCAGCCACGGCTGCAGGTAGCTTCTTGAACATATTGATATTCTGATGAAGGCCAGTGCTCCTCTAAAAAAAGTCAACCTCGAGAAAGGCCTAGGGCCTGGGGATCACAGCACCATTAATCCACGTTTCCTGGGGTGTAGCCTCTGCAGCTCCTATGCACGCTGATGATTTCTACCGTCCGTCCAAGTCAAGGCAAGTTCACCTGAAGAAATACCCTCAAGAAATACCCTCATACTTTGGAATGTTCAGGCACGTGGGCTAGATTTGCTGGCTTATGAGCACCGGTGCACACGGTGGAGCTTGTCACATCATCTAGGTCTAGGTGTCGTTTTGCGCAACATCCTCTGCTGCTGCTCTCGGCACATTGACCGCGTCGAGTTCAAAAGCCCAGGAGTCCCGGATGCCTAAATGCTCCTCCAAGACATGCCTGCGGATGAAAATCGCATCAAAAGAGCCGGCAAAAGGGTAAACTGGAGTGCTCGGGTAGAGTATCATAGCGGGCGCCAACACCAATGAGAAGCCTTCCCAAGCAAGTAAGGCTTCAAGGTCCTTCAAGGACGAAAGGCCGGACTCCCGCGTTTCCAGCTTCATGACTGCCACCTTTGCCAAAACCGGAGGACCTCGGGTCGTGCCCTTTGGTGCGACGGACGCCCCTAGCAGGTCCAGCTCCGCGCTCTCGACATCCAACCACAAGAAATCGGGCCGCACTCCCAATCGTTCTGAAGCTGCCTGTAGAGTGGCGGTCGGCACCTCCACCACCTCCAGCGCCCGCGCAGCACAGCGGGCAACTGCCTCTTCATAATATAAAGTGGCGTCCTCACCACAGTGCCAAAAGCTGGTGGTGCCAGTAGACGTGCCGAGGCCACCACACATCACTACGACATTGGAAAGGCTCGTCAGCTTCATCTCCACCTTCTTGCACAGGAGTGGGTTTGCCTCCCAGACAAAGACTTTCCCCTCTGGCCAGGCGTGGGCCATGAGCTCCGAATGCTTTCCATCGAAGCTCCCAGCCTCGAAGATTACAGGATGTTTTTGGGGCAACAAGGGAGCGATCCATTGTAAGAACTCTGCCACGTTACGTCGACTAGGTTGCAGGAGGCCCATCCAGCAAGCATCCGCTAGGAGATACAACACTGGCCACGCGCTCTGCAGGAACGTCGCAGCTGCCTTTTCCCTCCCTGCCTTCAACAAAGCCATCGTCATGGCTCGAGCAGCCCACTGAAGGAAGCTCTCCTTCTCTTCCAATCCTACAAACCCATGCTCGGAGTAGCGATATGTCAGCACATACTGTCCCGCAACAGCCAGCCACTCGCAAGCCGAGGTTGGTGTAAAGGGGGTCTTCAGGAAGTCCTGCACCATCGGCAGGTAGGACGTCGCCACAGAGGTGGCGTCTTGTACCAAGGACCACTGGAGTCGCCAGAGTCTCAACAGTCGCTTTGGACTGCTCCCGGTGGCGTTGCAATGAAGCCCAGGCTGTGGCCCCGGTTTCATAGGAGAACCGAGATGCAAGAGCCGCGCCACAAGTCGAAAGAGTGGAACCTTCAAAGCAAAAGCATGCTCCCAGCAATCCCAAGACGTGGCCACGAGAAGCAGCAAGTCAGAGACCTGTAAGTGCAGCTCTTCGTTGGGTCCGGTGACTGCAGTGTGCAAGAGGTTCATGGCAACCCAGCATAGCACCAGAATTTGACCCACCGCATTCACTCGGTAGTACCGGGAGTTTCCCCACGCTGCCGCTCCTGCATAGCTTGAAGCCACATGGGCCCGGATCTGCTGAAGCGTGGCCCAGAGGCATGCGCTTCCACAAGGGGTTCCTGCAGACACAGCCATCATCCCTAAAGCGAGCTCAGCCACGCTCGCTCCAGCCTCCCTCTCCCTGGGCCCGGTCGGTACTTCAGCAATGAGGCTGGCTTCACAGCAGATCTCAAACCCCTGGGGCGTGTAGGGGCAGCTAGGTTCTGCACTTCCCGATCTTCCGATCACGGGGGCGCAGCATCGGGTGACTTCCTCCCAGTCGATGGGGACTGGTCGAAAGCAGCTGGCTTGGCCCCCGAGGCCCAAAGTGAGGCCGCTCATCCAGCCATCGCCCCCCAGCATTCCTTCAAAATCCTGTGATACTGCAAAAGCTTGGCTAAAAAACAAAAGCACCCAGCCACTCCCAAGCGTGGTTGACTGGACGGGAGAAGCTTGAACCCGAGTAGGCTTGGACATGTCCTAGAGCCTTATAGGGACAAGATCTTCTTCAGGCGCCAGAGTATTTGGATTTCGCCTCCAACGAAAAACATCTGGAGCGGCGACCCTGAACGCCAAAATCGTATTTGCCACTGGAGCAGGGCATCGGGGCACATCGGTCTGCGCTCAACAGTTCTGCAGCTAGTCAGAGGGGCTTTCAAGTGGTCTCAGAGGCTTCCTTTCGCTTTCCTACCCCCAGAAACCCAGCCCCACCCTACGCGCGGATGAAAGCGTGGGCCCTGAGCCTCCTTTTACCAAAGCCTGAATCCGCCGTGCCACGCCCATCTTCTCGGCATTCTCGCGCGTAATCTCCGGCGGGCGACCCTCCTGGCCATGGGACTCTCAGACCCTGAAACTTAAGTAGCAAGCTCATGCCTCACAGCTGGACAGTTTGCATCGAATACGCAGACTGCCGGGCTCAGGCCCTTGGCGTTTCGGTGCTGGTGACCCACCTCATCGAGTGCCCCGACCGATGCTGCAAATCTCTTGGCCTCCGGACAGAGAATTTCTCGTGTACCGTGCAATGCATGGAAACCTGTAGGGAAGGAAGTGGTGCCTAAAGCATTGACTTTGCCAACATGTGGCGTGCTTGTTCTTGTCGCCTTCCGGATAGGGTTTCGGCCTCTTCTTGTTCTCTCATATGCAGCACTCTCCTGCGAAAGCCTCAATGTTGAACCCCCATGCTTCCAGGCCTCGCGCATGATTTCCAGCTTGCCAAGGCTCGAGTTGCGCATCACGTGGTTGATCCTTCAGAGTCTCTGGCTTCCAACAACATACCCAGACCCTGCAGTGACATGCACAGGTGACGTGGTCTGAACTTCCACCGGGTGGCCGGGAGTAGTAGGCCTGGGCCTTGACGTTCTTGGCGATTGGCATGCCGATGAAGTCTGGCATTTCCTTATCTCGAAGATGCATTTTCAGTGTTGTATGTATGAGATGAAGACCACAACGATGGACTGCAGAAGTCTTACTTCGTCGCCCCTGATGCTGTTCTTTCAGTATAAGACCAGAAACACCAGAAATCTCTTCATCTCATTTCTTAGGCTGAGCCGCCCCCACTGCGTTAGGCGCGGGCACCTCGGCAATCCCGAGGTCTGAAACCTCTGCCAGAAAGCCTCGCAGCAGAGCTTGCACAAGTAACATTTGAGGGCTCCAGTTAAGCTTGGTATGGGGGTAGTACTGAAAGCATGACCGTCTGGTTTGCTGTCGCCAGGCTTTCTCTTCACAAGTTTGTGGGGAAAGAGGGAGACGTCGAGCCGAACTGCTGAGATCGACAACATCGACAGTTCTTCAGGCTACCCAAACCCTGCAGATGTCTGTAGAGAATGCAGGTGCACTCAGTGACGGTTCTGCTCAAGGTCAATTTGGCACTCTAGCAGCATCATCCCAATCCCGCAAGGCTAGCTGCGTGGCACCGAGATCTAAGCACAAACAGAACTGACAGCACTACAAGTGCAGGAGTGACAGTCGATGTGAACATCTGGCACAGCTGCTTAAGCTTCCTGCCTTGTTCGAACTCGTGCAGCAGGAGCAACCTTAGGCCAGCGGCTGCATCTAATCCAAAACCTGGCAAACCAGTGCCGCTCGGTAGCCCCTGACCCTCGCGGCCGGCGCGCCCGGTGCGGCCAAGGCGGTGAACATATTCCTGGGGTCACACTGCTGCTTCACTTCTCTCCAGCTTTTGTGGTGCCGCTGAGCCCCCTTCTACCTTCCTGATACAAGCATTGCTCGTGCAGATTCACCCTTGCTGAGAATGATAATCTTGGGGCGCGGCTGCTTTGGAGTGGGCTGCCCCCATCTGAATCACGTGCGTGACCCCTGCAGTCGCGGCAGATCTGTTTTTGAGAGCAGTGGTGCCGCACCTTCAAACATGTAGGAGAATCGCAAAAGCCCAGGACTGGCAGCTGTGGGACGTCAACATTGCTACTGTAAGCAACTATAAGCTGCACGCAGAAGCCCAAACCCTGGTGTGGAATTCAACTTGCACAAGACACGGGCAAGAACGGCCTGGATAGTCCAACCCACGAGAGGACACGTCGCTTGTGAAAAGCCTTGGACGCTCGTGTCTCACAAGAGGAAGCACCCTAAATGTACCGGCCCTGCTATAGAGGAGGGAAGAGGGAGAATGCGAGCTCTCAGAAACTTAGGAACTTCTAAAATCCTCAAAAATACACCAAAAAAGCAATACAATTATGAACAGCAGCCACAGAGCACCCCGCGGGTTGCTGCGCGAAAACGCTCCGACTCATCTGTCCTTGCAGCTGCATTCATTGCGTTCATACCTGTCTAGTGGATTTAGGCCAGCAGACCGAAAAAGCAGCAACGTCCTACAGATGCATTTACAGAACATGTTGATCTAAGACCGTGCGCAGCAACAGCATGCATCACAGAAACAAGTCCTCTGCTTCTGACTTCTTCGCGCATGGATCTCGAAGACAGGCAGATCGGTGCCTCACTCAATCGGACTCTCAACAGCCGGTATCGGCAAGAACAACACCGGAGTAAGCGGAAGTCGTGCTTCGTCCCTCACATTCCATCATTAGAACATCCAAAACCTGATCGCTGAAGCCGACGACTTGCAGGAGGCCTGACTTCCGAAAAGCTTCGGCGTAGTAGGCAGCGATGCGGCCCGTCATGAAGATCACGACCTAAGTGAAGCCCGACTTGATGGCTTGTTTTGCAGCTGAGCTTCTCACATCTCCTCACAAGAGTGCGAACATTGCAACTCTCAATTTTCGATGAACGGTACTAAAGTGTGCAGTCCAGCCGCGACTTTCGCTTCCTCTTCCGCGGCTGCAATGGTGAGGGATGCCCATAGGCCTCGGCTACGGTGGCTACAGGAAGATCAAAAAGCCTGGAATGAAGTCCAGGTCTCATTCCGTCATGCGCTCCGTCGGCAAGACCTCAAATTTGGCTTTCGCTTGCGCCACTGGAACCCTGCAGACTTTCGCGCCACCGAGACTATCAGATCTCCTGCTGCCTCTGATATTCTGGCACCCCATGAAATCAGCTTCTTTCTGGGGATGCGGCAGTATACGTCTGGCGGATGTGCTCGGGCACCAACACATCGTCAGAGCGGATGACCTTCTCGTGCGGGTCATCGCAATCTTGCCGCTCACCCGAGTAATTCGCAAAAACATCGTACACCCAGGAAGGAGGCAGCCAAGTTGCATCCACGTAAATATGATCTGGTTTGCCAATTTGGCTGACCTTTGTTTGCCACTTGGTCTCGTAGAGGCTGAAAGGGCTTTGCTCTTGCACATGAGGTAAAACGCATCACACCGGCCCCTGCCTTACCAGTTCCAGCCTAACCATCCCACCTCAATCCCCCTGCTGGTGTCATTAATCCGAGCCCTGTTGGAATTCTGTCCCCTACATCATGCCAGCTTATAAGCGGCAAAGGGTGGCAACATCCAAGCTGTTGCCTGCAGTGCTGGCCTGGTCTGTCATGCAGCAGAACCGCACAAATCCAGTGGACGCCAGGTGACCAACTTTGTGACAGCATCCCCCATTGTGGCGGAGTAGAACCTCGAAGGCCATTGCCGAAGTCTGCATGGCGAAGGGTTCGACTGCACCGCAGCTCACTCAACTGGGCAACGCCAACACACGTTAGTCCCGGCTTCGTCTGCTGCCTTCCGAAGATGTGAAGAAGTCACGCACTATGCCGCCAGAGACGCAGGCTCTGGCGCTGGCTTGCCGGAGGCAGCACTTTGACGATGTCCTGGAAAGCCATGGGGTCGATCAGGCTTAATTAATTGTTTCTGCTACTTTCTCGCCACGTCCCATCGTTGAGAACCCACCGCTTCGGCGCTTCTGGCTTTTGTCGTCTCTCTCGAAGAACCCTTGCGAACCCTCAGCTGTGACCCGGGTCCAGCGTCGCTTGCCGAAATACATCCTCGGGCGGACTTGGAGATAAACAGATGAGCTTCTCAGAAGCTCAGTGGCTGAAAGGCAGGAAAGACAGAAAACATCCTACCTGGTCCTATCCTTGCCTTGCATGCAATGTTGCAATGCAACAGCCTGCCAGTTATCCACCAGTGGACTTGAATCGCTCAGCAACATCTCCTTGACCTGATCACCTGCACCTGATCCTCAAATGATGCCTTGTGAGGAACAAGCTGCACCCGCAACTTCCTGAGCACCAGAAGCTCAAGGACTTAGGGGCGAGTCACGCTGGCCAGCTGGTCCACTTCGTCCAAGACCAGGATCCTCAGGCAGGGACCTTCCCTGTACGGATCCCCTCCAGAAACAAACAGAGAAGGGGGGCACACGCCAGTGAGGCGCAGTCAAGAGAATCTACACCCTTATGACAAGCCGAAGTGCAATAGCGGCAGCTGCTTAAGCCGTGGGCCCTACAGCGATTAACGGATTTGCACCACCCTGTACAATCTGAATAGTAACCCAAGAGTCTGCACTTTGCCTAACCGATCGGCGAAGCCATCTGTCTTCGTCGCCTCAGGTTCTCGACACCATGCGTCCAAGGCAAAACGGACTACGAGTCCTTTCCCTTGCATGTGGCATGATCACTTTGTAAACATCTGCTGCACCGCCTGCCCCAGCTGATCGGAGTTGGACTTTGACTCACGACTTTTGGACACGGCGCATGGCTCTGTAGCCGGCCTGGGGTGGCCACCAACGTCCTCGCAACCAGGGGCACCACTGGATCAAAGGGTGCAGTGTGCAAAGCCCATTCGACCAATCACAAGCACTGATGTACTGATGGCGTGCAGCCTGTCTTGCATTCAGTCAAGTTGCACTGCGCCCGTTGCTGCGTTCAGAGCTTCCAAGTCCTGCAATGTTCTGCTGCGCTCACCGCTGCTCTGCACGCAGGGAGCTAAATGCGGAGAAGCTCTACCTCCCTCGCGAGACAGGCTTCCCTTCGCATCAAACATGGCATAGTGCACGCTGACACTGCAGATCGTCAACGGCTCAAGATTCACCGACATGTCCCGACGCAAGCAAAACGCGCCTCCTCCCACCGCACACCGCCGGTCATGCAAACCATACCTGAGGCGGAATGTGTCATTCTCGTGAAGAGGAAAGACTGACGTCTGCCATGACTGGGCTGTCAGAGAAACCATCAAAACAGCGACGCTTGGCGGCAAGTCCGTCGACACTCAACCTTGCTGGTTTCCTGGTGCCGGGAACAGGAAACACAATGTAACACAATCGCTTATTGCACCGCCGCGTGTGCAAGACTGCAAGACACTTTGAGTCTGCAAGAAACTCATCACGCGTGAAGTCATGAGTCCCTCGAAGCGTAAACTAACTTGAGTTGAAAGGTGCTACTGCTGCTGTAGTACTTTGCCAGCTTCTCCGCTTCGGCCGCAACCTATGCGAGAACATGGTCGGCTGCAGGGTGTTTTGAGGCTCCGGCTCGAGATACTAAAACAACCTGCGATATCCGGCGATGACACGGGCATGAACCTGCGGAAACGGTAGCCTCGAACCTGAGGAAGAGTTGCCTGACATCCCACAACTCAACTTCGAACAAACGGAGACACATCCGGAGGACTGAACGGCCCCAGTGTCTTTCTTATGCTTTGGTTTGTGGAGGGCTCGGGCCGTGGTACTGGACTCGGACACAAGGCCAAGCCCAAGAGTCTGGCCTGCATGGAAAGTTCACGCACGGGCGTGAGAACCAGAACAGCAATCTCGCCTGACAGAGGGAGGCGAATCTTGATGCCAATCAGGCATGCCGTCTCTTGAGAACGGAGGCGTTCACACAAAAGCCTTACAAGGATGTCCTGAAAATCCTCCTGGCCCGGAAAATATGGATTATATTATACCATAGACAGCACAACCACGACATTAGGTCCGGCCTGGAGCTGCCTGCTCTTCGTGCAGCCTCCGCATGTGATGATATCGGTCTGCTTCTCTGCTTTTATCACTCACAGAACTCAGAGATGCACAGAATGACTCAAGCGCGATCTGGTCTCTCACGGATAGCGACATCGCCGTGTCTACAGCAAGCATAAAGCCTGTGCAGTCTCACGAGCAAGACTGGCCTGTCCAAGCAAGGGAGTAGGAAACTGAGTGTTTTCCCGGAGCCTGGCAAGAGACCAAAATGACAGTTATCCCCGAGCCCCGAGCAGTTTTCACTACTGCCCATTCCCGTCCACCTGTTTTCGCCCTCGCCACGACCTCGGCACCACTGCGGATGGATTCGAAGGTCTTCTGCTGGATCTCCGTCCTTAGTGCACGGCAGGTTTCACGCGGGTCGGAATCTTTCCTAGAAGTCACTGACCAACATAAACAACTCTTCTAAACTGTGCTGCTGGGAATCAAGAGCTCATACTGGAACGCCTGGTCAAGGATTTGCAGGCAGCCGGCGCGCATCTAGCTTGCACGAAGATGCGAGTACAAGTATTCCTGGACCCTCTCGCGATACTTTCTGCCAAAGAACATCCACAGTGATCAAGAAATCAGAACTGCAAGAGGAAAGATCAGCAGCAAAACGCTGATGTTCACGCATTCGCTAGAAAACCGCTTCAGCATGGCAAATCAAGGGGAGAACTCCTGTGCTGGGCGTTTCGCGGGCCTCCCGCATTGCCTGCTTGCCCGCCTCTGCCAGGCGCAGCTCTGAAAACCGCAACTTGGCCTCAGCAGACAGAGAAACTACAAGGAGTATCTCGGAGAGCCTACGGCGAGCTGGTCTTGTCCACTTTGTGAACAAAAATCCTCGAAGCACCGGTCAGACACTGGGAGGGTCAGGCCTCAGGTAGGGGCGAGTCCTTGGAGGCGTAGCCATTCGCCATGGCAGCCAGTCGGAAAATAGGAGAATCCTATATAACGTTCCTATATCATGCTGCAGTGATAAAACAGGACAGTGACGAAGGCGGAAGTCTCGGAAGGCTCGGCTCAAGAACTAACTTCCGCTCAAGATCAGCTGCTTCTTGATGGGCAAAGGACCCAATGTGCCTGCTGACTCAACTCAATCCCCCAATTCATGTCTCTAGTCCACCAACGCTAAGCAGCCGCTGAGACATTCGAGCCAGGCTCTAGCAGTTTATAGCCCTCGACGTGGATCGGTTGGCCGAAGTCCCGGAGCACTCCCTTCCGAAGGCCCGGAGCACTCCGTTATCTGGGGACTTCTTAGACTTGCTCTCTCTTCTAAGTGGGCATTGCGCGGCGCTGCCTGCACAGTCGCCTTCTTGAGGCCGACCTGAAGACCCAAAGCGGAGGCAAAGAGGAGGAAAGTGAAAGGGAAGGCCCCTGGAAGACTTCTTGAGCAATTTATGAGACTTCAGAGGGTTAGAAAAAATCCACGAGAGATCAAGTTCCAGGACTGGGTGTCGGTCATTGCTGGTCTTCGGAATCAGCACGGGCGCACTGGACATCGGGACCTGCTGCAGCTCGACTCTTAGCAATCTCCGCTAGGCTAGGCCCACAGGGCTTTGTAAGTGCCCTTCTGGACACTTAGATGGTGGTAGGCCACTGCCTAATGCGCGAACTCAGTACCACGAACGCCCTAGAGCTTGCAGCTGCTAGACTTGCTGCTCGGCTGGCACACTCAGACAAGTCTCAAGAACCCTCGTGTGCGACTCTGCAGAGCGCTGATTTACAACACGGGGCCTGCATGGCCATGGCCAGCACTTGACGGATCAACAGAAGTCCAGAATTTTCAGATGAAAGTGCCCCCACATAATGATGTTTTTGTCCGAAACTGGGCTGACACATCTTCCCCGGATCTGGACTGCTGCTGAAAACAGACAGCTCACAGCTGTCCGCGCAGCTACAGTGCTTGAGCAAGGGCGGCGTGGGCATCCAAAGTTCCGCTGACGTGAGATTGCCTTGATCAAGTCACCAGAAGGTGATCGGTGGGCTCGAAGGGTTTTCGGGTAGTGCAGCCCTGAACGGGACTGATGCAAACCCGATAGCTCACAAGCTTCTTCCCGTTGTAGCCCTTTTTCTGGCGGCGGTAAGGCTTTGAACCACTCCACCCGCTCCATTCGGCCGGCAGCTGTGTCTGCCAAGTACGCCTGTTGCCGGGCCTGCTGAGACAGCAAGCTTGGGAATTTGTCTTTCAGCCCATGCCCTTTATGATGCCCTTTCTTCCCTTCCCTTCCAAGCCTGCCGCGCGCCTGGGTTCTCCTTGAGAGCTGCGAGAAAGCGCCGCGCGGCCGGGCTTTGGAAGGCTTCGGCCTCCTCGTCGAAACGCGCAAGACAAGGACAGAAGAGATCTCGAGCTTCGCCGTGTTGCTGTGATACAAAAACCCTTAAGGCACACCTCAAGCTCTGGGACGAATCCCGAAATCCCAAAAGGTATATCAGAACAATATCAGACATACGAGGCCTCCAGTGCGAGGAAGGAGCCCCCGGTGGCACCCGCCAAGGTCTCGTAGCGCTTTCGCTCCGCAGCTTGGAACCGGCCGATGATGATCTCAGTGCTTCCATGGGACCCGAGCGTCAGTTGAGTCTTCCGGCTGAGGGCTGTAGCAGGTCAATTCTTAATGAAGCTGATGCCCACGCTACATCAGAGGATCGATCAGAAAGGCTGGATGGAATGCAGAAGGCTGTAGCTTTCATGCTTGAAGTGTCGAAGATGGGGAAGGTAGAGCATCTTTCGAGACGTCCCCATATAACCCTCAACACCGCCTCGGCAAGCAGCCGAGAGAATCCGGCTAGTATCACATAGCGCATCCAGGTGTCTATGTGCCATTCGACGTCGAAGCCCTGCTTTTGCAACTCCTTCAGCGGCATAACTATGAACTGCCCTGTTTGGTCAGCCAGGGCATGTAGCTGTGTGTGCATGAATGCGAAGCATCCCCGTCCTTCATCAGTGCATCCATGCCCTTAATGCCGCAGTAAACACCTGTCACAAAAGCGCAGCAGACTTCGACTGCCTCCGCTTTGACAGCAAACCTTGTGTGTGTTTGTTCGCCTGGGGAGTGGGTATCCTCCCCGTCTGTGATGACAATCAGGCGCAAACGGCCATGCCCAGGGAGATACCTCGAGCGCACGTCCTCTTCGATCATCTTCCACATGTAGGTCCCGCCGGAAGTGCCGTTCCACTGAGCGGCCACCACGCTACTGAGCAGCACTGAATGGCTCATGGAATCTGCCAGCAACCACATGTGGGAAACACAAGAACAATGCGAACAAGGATCTGGAGCAGCGTTGCTGTGGCAGCTGTCTCTTGTGACGCAGAGAGCTCTTCTCTCGGAAGCAGCACTTTGGGAAGGGTTCCAAACTTGAGAATACGCGTTGGTCCCTGAAGTAGAGGGACCACCTGATCCAAGGCATCTTGGCCCAACTGCAAGCCGGACTTGCCAAACACGCCTTGGACGGAACCACGCATTGAGCCCGAGTCGTCCAAGTACATTATGGTTTCGATGTCATCCACCTTGACAGGAGCTGCCAAGGTATCGTTTACGTCTGCCATGTACCTGAAAGCTCCTCCCAGGAGGCGCAGGCCGGGGTGTTTGGCCGAGTCGAGGGCATCTCCGACAATTGGAGCCAAGGTCTTGCAGACGGACCAGGCCACGCCGGCCAATCCTGCTCCGGCCCTGGCAGCGCCCGGGGCGTCGGGTGCCAAGGGAGCACCGGAAGACACCGAAGGTGTCTTAGGCGCGGCTTCGGCCTGAAGCTGGGCCCTCAGCCTCTCCCAGCTTTCTTCATGAAGTCCAAGGCCATGCTTGGCTGCAGCCTGCTGGTGGGCCTCGATTCAACAAAGGGAGCTTTAAAACAAAGAACGAAGCATCGAAATCCAAATCCTAACGACAACTCTCCTCCTTGGTAAGAAACACACACGAATCATATCACATCACATCATCCGCCCATCCGCGCCTGGAGCTGGCCCCAACTCGCCAGGCTCTTCTGATTCTGAGGCGTGCGATGCCAGGACTCACCATGGCCGAGGGACTCCCAGGCCGCCTTCTCGGACTCCGAGAGCTTCTCCCAAGGCTTCAAGTGACTGGAGAGCCGCCTCTGACTCTGGGCTCGGCAGATTGGCCGCCAGAAGGCTCCAGGAAGTCGCCGGAGAGCCATGTCTCAGCTCCAGCCCCACATGTAGAGAGATATGATATGTGAATTATTATTTTTTTTTTCGCGTGTGTGTTCCGTGTCGCTTCTTGCAGATCAAGGCCGGAAAAACAGCTGCACCGGAAACGCTGTAGTTAGTTATATATATATGTGTATATATATATAAACATATATCTGTGTGTGTAATACGACTCACAAAAAGAGCAAGGCGATTTTCGTGGCCTGGCCGTTCACTGAGAGTCTGAAGGTGCATTCGAGAACAAAGCGGCCGCCTCCGAGCAAAGGCACCTTCCTGGATTCCTTGCCTCTGACTCGGCTGTTGAAAAGACTTGTTGCACGTTTATCGTGATAAGAAGCCTATTCTCATTCAGGATGACACGAACATGCATTTCAGGCATCATGCTTCTGCCTTAACCGGTATTGGCGAGGCCAAACTTCCAGGAAACGCGGAAGGCTTCTAAGAGGTTGCGGGCACCCGAACCTCATGAGGTCAGCGCTTCAGGTTTCGGAGATCTTCAGATCCTGCCGACTTCGCCGGCTGGATGGCGAATTCTGCTTCACTCTGCCGGCTCCGGCAAGACTCAAGTGGTTTGAGGCTCTAGCTTCCGGGAGTGCAATTGCGACACGTTCGGTGGCAGACAATCGCCGGCTGACGTCAGATCGGGGCTTTCTGCAACTTCGAGGTCGTGTTTGCAGGGGTAGAGGAGCCAAGCTGATGGAAAATACACACGACTGGAGCCCTTGACACAGCTACACATGCAAGAGCTGCCTGCCGGATGTGCGAATCGCAGGCAAGGAATCGCTGCCACTTCAGCTCTGGCCGCCTAAAGCGTCAAAACTCCATGGCAGCCTCAAGTGGTGCATCGAAGTCGCACACTGGTGTGTCAACCGCTCTAGCTTCATGAAGCACTGGGATGTTGAGCTCCAGATCCGGCCAGCTGAGTCCTTGGCTGCTGCACTGCCAAAGGCTTACTTGCCCTGCAGGGCTGACTCAAACGCAAATGCCCGCACCGTTCAAAATGACACATCGTGTCCTGATTATGAGATCCGTGACCGCCACAACCGGAAAATTGCTGTGGTTGCTGCTGTCACTGCTGCGGTCATCGTCGTCGTCCTCCCAGTAGTAGTAGTAGTAGTAGTAGTAGTAGTAGTAGTAGGCGCCCCCCCCCCCCCCCTACCAAC